GTGCACTTTTCTCTTTAAAACTCTTTGCAAAGTTGAGATATTAGTCTTGTTTTAGAAGTGTTTGCAAACCTTCCTACCTCTACAAACATGGAAAAGCTTGAGTCACTTCCCATTGATATGTTGAGGTATGCTTGTCGATTTATTCCAAGCTATAATTTCTTTGTATTCACGTTGGTGCAAAATGCTCATTTTTCCATAGCTGTCGAGAGTACGATGTGTTTTCTACTCATTCAAGACAATATGTCTCTTCATTTAGAATCAACCACACACCAAGTTTTGTTTGTTTTTAGAGTAACTACGTGGTTGTGATTTCACCATTACACATTGGTGGTACGTAGGTACAAAACTCTCAAAGTTTTGCCGAATAAATAAAACAATAAAAGAAATCTCCTTCTTTATGCAAATGCAACAACCCATTTCTATTACTCTAACTCAATAAAAAATTTCAAAATAAAATAGTCAAAACATAAACAGTAGAAAATTGAAATAGAAAGAAATGCTACCAATCCTAACCAATAAAATGGTGGCAGTTGTATGATCGATTTTTTAGTCGGAGAGAAATGTTTGATGGTGTAGAACAAGATATGATGGATGCAATAATGTTTGAGAGGGTTTGTGAGGTAGGTTGGAGTAATTGTGGATGAAATTGATGAATTTATGATGGTTGCGCAACTGTTGAAAAAATGGATCCCCTCTTTATTCGCGTTATAATCTTATATATTGTGAGACATGTAGAGTTTCTTGATTTTTTTAAATGGCCAAAATACCATTTTCTAGTTTATTTGATGAAAATATAAACTAAAAAGTAAATTACAATTAAATGACATTTTTGTTTTAATTTTTTTCGACTAAAAAAAGAGATCGGAAATAATCGAAAACAATTAAAATCAGACACTTTTTCAAGTCCAACAAATAAAATAGTACATCAAAGTAATCAGCACGCAATAAAGTTTATTAAAAAAGACTGCAAATGATCAAAATTGCAAATAAAAATTCCAATTAAACAGACTCAGAGGGGTAAAAAAGTGACCGCAAACAATGTCAAAAAAATAAATCGAGCATACCAACATGATCTACGCGCAATGTAGATTCATAAGATAGTCAGTTAAAGATCAAAACTCAAAATATTTCGTTCATTAATTTTTGCACAGTGTCGAATGGCTTTTACTGGTCTGCTTGTAAAACCAAAAATTCATTCTTATTAGATTTTGATCATCTCTGCACAATGTTTGAGACAGTACAAGAAAATAAAAATGCATGAAGTGAGATTTCGAGTATTTTTTACCTTAAAATGATGCAGATGTTGATTTAAGTTGACTTTTGATCAACCAATGTTTGATGGTGTAGAACGAGATATGATGGATGTAATAACGTTTGAGGGGGTTTGTGAGGTAGGTGAAACAATCGGCTGAAAATCATCAAACAATGAAGTCGCCATCGAACGTCTTTTATCCCACATGAAGGGAAAGGTAAACATTGAGAAAACCTGAGAAGGGAGAAGTCACGGTCTTGTGACCGAGAGATAAGGGTAAGGGAGTCTGTTACGCGAGGGGAAGGTATTAGCACCCCACGCGCCCGTAGTACTCTACGGTATCCACTCTTGTTATCTATCTTATGGGTGTGTTTAATCTATGCTTACTGTTTATTACTACTAAAGGGAGAATGCATGCAAATAAAAGAGAAAAGAATGTAGGGAAAAGAAAAGTTGTGCTCGTTCGGGCCCTACCCCGATGCCTACGTATCCCTTTTAAGGAATCAGAGCAGCCGTAGTTCGGCTCATATGTTTTTGTTGGTTTGTATTTTTTAATGAACATTATTAATTTCGCCCTCTGCCGCAACTCGACCTTTGGAGACTTACGCGTCAGCACAGAAGTGAATTAACATGTTCTTTTGAAAAAAAGTTTTGGAGAAAAGGTGTTTGGACGCACAAAAAAGGTTTGAATTTGGTTTGTGTTTGTAATGAACGATATTAATTTCTCCTTCTTCCGCAACTCGACCTTTGGAGACTTACGCGTCAGCACGGAAGTGAATTAATATATTCTTTGAAAAAGTTTTTGTTTGGAAGGCCCGTAGGCAAAAGAGTTTGTATTTGTCGGTGTTTTTGCTTGTAGGTAACAGCTAGTTGACATCAAGAGAGATATTTTAGCCATTTCTCTACTTATTTGTGAAATGAGTCTTTGAGACTTGAACCATACCAAAGCTTATAATAAGAGAATAATAAGGTCGAGAAGAAACCCGCTTATCGTCTCACATACTTAATGAAGATATGATTCTCGTCAGTAAATATTTAGTATTTTGAAGTTTGTAAAAAGGGAGTTTTTTTGTTTTAAATGCATATGCGAAAAGAAAAAGAAAAGTCAAGGGGAGACTAGCCTATTTCTAAACCTAAAGTTATCATACTTCATATGATCTCTCGAAAGCGATAAATGCGGAGATGAGGAATAAAACGAGGTTGTGATAATATCGAACGGAGAAGGTCTGTTGCCTCTTTGAAATCGTGCAAGCAATAAGAAAACTCTACAGAAACTGCTTCGCGCGAGTGATCAAATAATTAACCTCCAAGCATTCCTCATCACAAAAGTTGCATCATTACTATCACGAATTCTTGACTAAAATGATAATGAAAATGATTGTTAAACATAAAATTATAGAAAGTTCTAATAAAATTCTAAATAAAAGACCTAAAAAATTCTAAAATACTCTATTATTTTTGTATCATTTCAATTATCAATTAAGAGAAAAATTAAAATAGAAAAATCTAAAATAAATAAATAAAATTTTAGAAGAGTCTGGGGGGTGCGAGCCTGGGAACATGTGTGCTGAAGCAAAATCTGAGCCCAGTCTATGATCAGATTTTTGTTGCAAGGCATGCTAGTTTCCCAAAAATCTTAACAGTGTAGAACATCCAAGCCCATAGTCACCAAATCCAAATGTCTTTATAGGTAGAGGCTAGGGTTCAATTGGGAGTGACAATTGAACTCCTTCCTCTTCTCTCATCAACCGCGAATGACAACGAATCTTTATTCTCATTCTATCTTCTTCCACCATTCACCTTCTCATCTCCATTTCTAATTCAATTATTCCTCCAACGCATCTTTGCTCCTCTGATTCTTCACCGTGAAACAAACACATCAAATCTCATCGCACCAAACTCCGCTCAACTCTATGATTTTTCATTCACGGCTCCGCCCGCTCACTTCTCAATCTTCTTTGCTTCTTATTCGTGAAGCTTCGCGCCATTGTCTCATTTGATTCTCGCCTCCGTTTCAAATGATGTCGCACAGTGGCTCCGTCTCAAATATATGATTTATTCAAAAGAAAACATGTACAACACAGTGTTGACAGTAAAAGGAGAAGAGAATCACTTGCCGGAGTAGCTCCGATGACTATTCGATGGAGAGAAATTCTAACAGAAATCCATCAGGTATGAAATCTCGTAATTGCTTCTCCTTGTTCTTCTGTATACATCTTCAATTCTTATCTTGTTGCAATCTAAGACTTCTTCTGCTTCTTCTTCGTGTTTGTGCAAATTTGAACTTTGATGTGCGTTGAAATTATTCTGGATGTAGATTATTGTGATGATGCTGAGATGAAGAAGATGCAGTTACAGAGATTTCAGAGGGGATAAAGATGATGAACTTGCAAAGAAATTTAGAGAGAATTCAAAGGAAGTTGCAAAGAATTCGAGATTTGTGAGTTTTCTTATAGTTTCTGTGAATCTCTGTTGAATAATTATATGTGAATCGTGTACTTTTTATGAAGGAATGGTGATTTGAAGAGAAAGATGAAGGTGAGGGATGAGGAATTGAGAGAGAGGGAGAAAGTTTTCTTTGGAGATTTTTTCATTCTTCCAAATGATTGAAGAATGTTGATGATGAAGTAGAGAAAATTGAGAGGATTTGATGGTGATTCTTCTGCAGAAGTGAAGAATCAATAATGAAAGAGGTAAATTCTGTTTTTTATAGTCTGTTAGTACTGAAACTGTTAGTTAGGATTAAATTGATCTGAACCCTTGGTTTTGAAAGGATTAGTTAGTGAATGAATGGTATCGATTAGGAGGTTAGAGAGGTCTAGAAATGAGAAAGTTAGTTATATGTTAGAAGTTATGTAGGGCTGTTAGGAAGTTTGTTAGTTATGCAGGGTTATTTAGTGAGGAAGTTAAAAGTTATTCGGGGAAGTTATAAATTATGTTTGTTCGGTTATGACTGTTTACAGTTAAGAGCCAACTTGTGGCTAAATCTGAAACTAAGTTAGTTAGAGGGCTAGATATTGTTACAGGTTGTTATGATCCCTTTTTGAATAGTTAGTTTTGGGTGATGTTAATTAGGAAGTTAGAAGTTAGTTAGGGAGTTAGTATTCTGTTTGGAAGTTCTGTTAGTTGGTTTTTTTTTATAGTTAGTTAAGACTTGGTTTGGAGTTAGTTAGAAATTATGTTGGAGGTAGTTAATTGGTTCTGTTGTGGGGATGTTAGGAATTATTGGAAATTTGTTACAGCAGTTAGAAATTTTGCTTTCTTCTAGTTGGTTAGGAAGGTTGGTTAGATTTCTCTTATGACAGTTGGGTGAGTTGGTTATAGATTGTTTGGATGGAGGTTAGTTGGGGAATTGGTTAGGTAGTTAGTTATGGTTGTTTATTTGTTGAAATTCTGTTATGATTTAGTTTCGGTTAGCTCTGTTGGTTAGGGGTGAGGGGGGTTATGACAATTAGGAAGTGGGATGATGGTTAGAGAATGAGATATGTTTCTGGTTTTTTCTGTCAGCCTTGTTGCTTGGAGAAGTTAGGAAGTATAAAAAATGGTTAGCATTGGTCGCAATTAAGTTTTTATGATTTCTCATTTTTCTCATTGAACAAATGCGGCTGAACTGATATATTCCTCTTATGATTTTCTCTGCTTTTCTGTTACACAAACATTAGTGAGCTGGTAATTCCAGGTTTTGTATATCCTCCGATTTTCTACAAGTGAATAAGCTAAAAAAAATATTGGTTCCTATTAACAAACCATGCCTTATGTTGTATTTGCTTATGAACTTCTTGATGCAAGTATTGAAAACTAGTTTTGAATTGACTTATAGTTATGGTGCAGGGAAGCAATTTGTTTTCTCTTAATCCTGTGATGGAACTGATTGAGTTTTGTTCATAAGGCAGCTAGTACGTTAGCTTGTGATATGTTGAAGCATGGCATGAATACACGGGGGATGAAGTTTCTAGAAGAGAGCAGGTTTTCATGTGAACTGACTTGGTTGTACAGGACATCCGGTTTATTATGCAAATCAAGGTTTGATGACAGTGGAGATGCACCTCTTGGAACTATGGAAGCTTGGAGCAAAGATAATTGCAAGCATGAAGACAACTTTCACATGTTATTTAAACATTGCATTACTATTTGTAATAGCCTTTAGATTGTATTTTGGGTACAACTTGTAATAGACTTTGAATGTGGTAATTCGTAATAAGAACCTCTTGAATGTTTAGTCTTTCTTTTGAATGAAATGTGTAATGAACATGAGTTTTTGACAATGATGAACTTTGCCCTTTTTTTTGGCGAATGAACAAAGAGGAATTTGACTTAAGCTTGACATGTCGGGTGATGAATTTTATGGACAGAGTTTAAATGACAAAGTCTTGAAATTTTAACTTTAAAGGGATTATGGTAAAAAATGCTTGAAGACACGAAAGCATCAAATTTTCTTGTAAGGTATTGTTACACTTGAACGAAATTGAATGGAATTGGATAGGATTTTCTTAAATCATGAATGAAAGGGTTTGAATGAACTTTGAACACATGTGAACTTGAATCTGGAATGACGATGAACATCTTTATAATGCGGATGAACTTCGACTTGAAACAAGACCTTGCGGTCTGTACCTTACCTTCCAAGAAACTCACATGACCAATACTTAAGGCTCTTTGCCAACTTTGATCCAATCAACCACTTTCGAACATCTTGAATTCAAATCAAACTTCAAATCCAAATCACACTTGCATTCTCAATGAACTCCTAACTTCAATCTTGAATCCAAATCAACTTGTATGATAAGTAATTTGATTAGACAATAAGATCTTGATCCTAAAAAAATTCACAACCTTGCCTTTTGTATCATGCCTCATATTCCACGATTCAAATCCACAAGTCTCTTAACTTGACAAAGTCCTTCCCTAATTGACGACCTTAAATCATCAAAGATGGACATAAATGATAATGAAAGAATATGATCAAGATTAACATGAAACCTTATTTCCCCTGATCTTCAATTACTTGGACATTTATCAACGAATAGAAACCCTGATTTTTAATGAAATTTTCCTTTTCTGAACCAATATTTCTTTTCTTTTTCCATACCATTCTTCAAATGCAACTTGAATGCCTAACACAAATTAGATGAAAGTTCAAGGGAGACCTTGGTCCAAAAGTTAATTGTTCAAAGCTTACTTTAACCGAAGTCAAAAGATCTTATCCATGTATCTTGAACTTGATCCATGATTATGCATCTCAAGGTCTCATAAGAGCTTGTAAGCCCATCAACCAGGTATGCCATGTTGAACAAAACCCTGCCTTGAATGCCTTGAACCTTGAATTACTTTGCATGAATTCTTCCATGAGAAGCCTACTTCAATCCAAATCTACTCGCATTGCAGATAACAAATGACAATGATAAGGACAATAATTGCCTTGGTTAAGAAGAAGTCCACAAATTCATATCTTAGGTCATGAACCACGCTTCACAATTTGATCCCCGGCCCTTAGCGATCGGTTATTTCAACTCGAAATTAGTGTTATGAGGAACATATTACAGGTGGATGATAAAGTCTGAATCACAAAAGAATTCCCTTGACGTGAAACCCTAGTCGCGCAAATGAAAACCCCAGCACTTGCCAAGACTGGATAAAAACAAATATATCTTGAAGAGAAAGAAATCATGTTAACCGCACCCCACAATCTTGATTCCTCGGTTTAGATGCACAGAGAAATATCCGGATGAAACATCTTTGAACCATGATTTGACAAAATTTAAATTGATTAACTGAAGAGTAGATGAATGCCATGTCATAGTCATTAATCCTAATCAAATGATAAGCATACTTATATGAAGAGACGCCATTATTCGAAGCCTATATACGCTAGGTCACGCCCTGGAGTTCTTGACCAGAATGACCTACAACCAGTGGTTCATCAGAAGATATTAGCCCTGTAACTTGGTGGAGAAGAAATCCAAAAATGAGCATGCTCAAAAACCCTAGTTCCACAGTCTTATACACCAGGACGACCCTGGATACTCAAACTTATTCAACACATACACCTCAAATTAGTTGTAAACCCTAGCTCCCTAACTACTGGTCTTTTGAACCTCAGGCGATCTATTTTATGAAAATGCGTGCTATGCATATGACCCATTGGAATGTTGCATATGAATGCAAAGTCCAAGCCAGCATAAAAATGCAATTAGGAGGGAAAATTTTGGGGTGCAACAGCTGCCCCTATTTAATCGCCTTTAACCTGAAGGTGAGATTGGCGTCAGCCTTTCAAACTTTCAGGGTGGAAGAAGATTAAATACTAACAGAACCCGAAAATTTGCACTCCGAAGCCAGTCAGGTATACATTATATTTTCGGTTTTTTGTATTTTCTATTTTTTTTCTTTTTTAGGTAAAAGAGGTTATCAGGGTTAGATGTATGTTTAACTAGAGTTTAACACACAGAAGAATAACTTGGTTATTGAGGAGCACTTGTTGGGATTTAGTAACAAACACCTGTAAGAAAGATATCAAAAGGTGTATGCCTGAAGTCTGTAGCAGACATACGAAGAAAATAAAAGGTATCAAAGACACATATTCGGGGTCGGTAGAGGATACGTATGCAAGAGATATCAAATATACATATCCGGGGTTGGTAGTGGATACGCATGAAAGAGACAGAAAAGGTACATATCCGGGGTTGGTAGCGGATACGCACAAAAGAGACAGAAAAGATACAAGAACACATGTCTGGGGTTGGTAGCAGACATATGGAAAAGGCATCAAAAATACATATTTGTGGTCGGTATCGGATATGTAAGAAAGAGACAGAAAAGATACATATTTGTGGTCGGTATCAGATACGCACAAAAGAGACATCAGAGATATCAAGAACACATGTCTGGGATTGGTAGCAGACATATGAAACAGGTATCAAAAATACATATCTGTGGTCGGTATTGGATACGTAAGAAAGAGATATCAAAGATACATATTCGTGGTTGGTATCGGATACGCACGAAAGAGGCATCAAAAATACATATCCGTGGTCGGTATCGGATACATAAGAAAGAGACAGATCGAAGAAAGCTCTCACAAAGATATCAAGAACACATGTCTGGGATTGGTAGCAGACATATGAAGCAAGTATCAAAAATACATATTCGTGGTCGGTATCAGATATGTAAGAAAGAGATATCAAAGATACATATCCGTGGTCGGTATCGGATACGTACGAAAGAGATGTCAAAGATACATATTCGTGGTCGGTATCGGATACGCACGAAAGAGACATCAAAAATACATATATGTGGTTGGTATCGGATACGTAAGAAAGAGACAGACCGAAGAAAGCTCTCACAAAGATATCAAGAACACATGTCTGGGATTGGTAGCAGACATATGAAGCAAGTATCAAAAATACATATCCGTGGTCGGTATCGGATACGTAAGAAAGAGATATCAAAGATACATATTTGTGGTCGGTATCGGATACGTACGAAAGAGATATCAAAGATACATATTCATGGTCGGTGTCGGATACGCATGAAAGAGACATCAAAAATACATATCCGTGGTCGGTATCGGATACGTAAGAAAGAGATATCAAAGATACATATCTGTGGTCGGTATCAGATACGTACGAAAGAGACAGACCGAAGAAAGCTCTCACAAAGATATCAAGAACACATGTCTGGGATTGATAGCAGACATATGAAGCAAGTATCAAAAATACATATCCGTGGTCGGTATCGGATACGTAAGAAAGAGATATCAAAGATACATATTTGTGGTCGGTATCGGATACGTACGAAAGAGATATCAAAGATACATATTCTTGGTCGGTGTCGGATACGCATGAAAGAGACATCAAAAATACATATCCGTGGTCGGTATCGGATACGTAAGAAAGAGACAGACCGAAGAAAGCTCTCACAAAGATATCAAGAACACATGTCTGGGATTGGTAGCAGACATATGAAGCAAGTATCAAAAATACATATCCGTGGTCGGTATCGGATACGTAAGAAAGAGATATCAAAGATACATATCCGTGGTCAGTATCGGATACGTACGAAAGAGTTATCAAAGATACATATCTGTGGTCGGTATCGGATACGTAAGAAAGAGATATCAAAGATACATATCCGTGGTCGGTATCGAATACGTACGAAAGAGATATCAAAGATACATATCCATGGTCGGTATCGGATACGTACGAAAGAGACAGACCGAAGAAAGCTCTTACAAAGATATAAATAACACATGTCTGGGATTGGTAGAAGACATATGAAGCAAGTATCAAAAATACATATCTGTGGTCGGTATCAGATACGTACGAAAGAGATATCAAAGATACATATCCGTGGTCGGTATTGGATACGTACGAAAGAGATATCAAAGATACATATCTGTGGTCGGTATCGGATACGTACGAAAGAGACAGACCGAAGAAAGCTCTTACAAAGATATCAAGAACACATGTCTGGGATTGGTTGCAGACATATGAAGCAAGTATCAAAAATACATTTCTGTGGTCAGTATCGGATACGTAAGAAAGAGACAGACCGAAGAAAGCTCTTACAAAGATATCAAGAACACATGTCTGGGATTGGTAGCATACATATGAAACATGTATCAAAAATACATATATGTGGTCGATATCGGATACGTAAGAAAGAGACAGATCGAAGAAAGCTCTTACAAACATATCAAGAACACGTGTCTGGGATTGGTAGCAGACATATGAAACAAGTATCAAAAGTACATATCCGTGGTCGGTATCGAATACGTAAGAAAGAGACAAACTGAAGAAAGCTCTTACAAAGATATCAAGAACACATGTCTGGGATTGGTAGCAGACATATGAAACAAGTATCAAAAATACATATCCATGGTCGGTATCGGATACATAAGAAAGAAAGAGAATGGAGAAAAAGGACTCTAACCAAGGATATCATGAATATACATCCAGAGGAAAGGGCGTATAACCAAGGATATCCAGAAACATATGTCCGGAGGAAAGGACATATATAACCAAAGGCTTGCAAGGGCAATAAAAAGCCACTATTTACTAAGACAATGGGAAACACCAAAGACTCGACTGGTGGTAGATCAAACAGCCTTAGCTGGGGAAACAAAATAGAATCACCCTAGGCTTCTTGTGG